CAATGGGTTTCAATTTTCATAATTCAAATAAATTTGTAACATTTAAATGAATTTTTTTAACTTCTGTAGTCAGTTTGTAGTTGTGCACGGGTTTGTTACATAGTCTCTAAATATAACGCATATTGTTGCTTAGGTGCGTGTACATTGTATATAGATGGATGTAACATTTGGTGCAGGGATACATTATAATACCATACATTAGCCCCCCACTAGCTCAAAGGTCGATTATGTTGTAACTGCTATATTAAATGGGGTGGATAACTGTAGTCAAATGCTGTGTGTCAGATTGGATTCTTTATATAAAGGTAAAGTAATTCATTGACCAAGTGTTCTGGTAAGAATGTGCTAATAGGATAAGATGACCATGTTTCTGTGAAGTTTATTTTAGTAATTTTTTAAAACTCTCTGATGGTAGACAAGAAATCCCTATGTGAGTGTAATTTTATCCTGACAGGGACTATGAAGTTCAGGAACTTCCACTGACAGTGAAGTAGTGAATGACAAATATTTGTCTCCATGTAAAATAAAAGCAAGATTTTTGTGTTCTGAAATTGAATATTTAATTTTTGGAATAAAGATGTTTCTCACTGCCTGCTCTCTGTGTAAAAGTAATTATTCCATGAATGAAAAGCAGTAACACTGGCAAAACTTAAAATATGAAAGGGATGGGTTTGTTTATTTTCTGGTTCAGATGTGTGTTTGGGGTATTATCTGTTTTAGTAGATGCCATGTGCAAGTCTACCTTGCTGTGTTTCAAAGGTGTCTTCTTCTTGCATGTGGTCTGCACAGCTGCCTAATCTTGATTTGTCATTGCTTCTCTAATGGTCAAAAGCTTTCTAGTTTTGGTGCTGTAAAACATTCTCCTTTATTTTAGACCCATTCCCTGTGTTCATTATGTTGGGAACTACTCTTCTGGTTCTACAGGACTGAAATGTGTTAGTAGCTGAGAACTGTCTTAGCTACTTGGGGCAGGGGGTGTTATGTAATAAAGACACTAAAACCTACATCAATGGAGCTTCTGAACCTGAAGAAAAAAGTGCTTGTTTGAATAAACCACCTTAAAAATGTTTGTCACCAGATGATGTAAACATGGCATTAAAAACAGCACCGCCCCCTGAAAACTGGCCTGCTCTGATAAGAGAAAGTTGGGTTTGGGGTGGAGTAGTTGTTTTGGTTTTTTTTTCCCCTCCAAGTTTCTGATTACAGCTGAACCTATTCCAGAAAGTCAATGAGTACTAGTAAGTTGTACTTTCTAATTTAATCTCTTTTTTTTTTTACCCCTCAAATAATCTATGTAAGAACTTGTTTGGCTTGCAAAACAGATCATTTGGACTATGCAAAACCTTGAACTGAAATCTATGATGATTGAGCACATCAGTGTCATGCAGGTGGAGAAAAAACATCCTTGAATGAGGTGAAGCTGTGTGTGCCTGTACTTGCCTGGCCCAAGGCCATTCCCTTGGACTAAACTGTTCTCTTGAGCCTGTTGGTGTCTCCTGTGCCTTCTGCCTGGTCACCTTTGGTGTCCTTTGCCAGGCACAGGCTTCATGTCCAGTGTTCTGCAGCACCCCCTGGCAGGGCCAAGCAGGTGGTTGCCCTTTTCCCTGTACACTGTAACTGCCAGCTGCAGTGACCTGTGTGGCTTCCAGTCCTGTTGCAGAGGTGGCTCTTCTGCAGCCCTGCAGACATCCCTTGGGTTTGCAGATGTTTTCAACTGGAGAGGCCTGGGTCCTTGTCTTAAAATTATTTTGGTGTCAGGAGTTTTTTGGGCATGGATATCACACTGGTTTTTTTGGTTTTTTGTTTTTTTTTTTTTTTTTTCTGGCTTGTACATCCTTATTTTGATGGAGGACTTCCAGGAGACTCCTACAGAAAGGGAGCAATTCTGAGCAGCAGAACATGTCAGCTTAGGGTGGGAAATATGAGTCAGGTGATTTCTTCTCTTGTTTCCTGAGAAAGAAATATGTTTATGGGCAATTTAAAGGGATTCAGAATTTTAGATGTGGTATAGCTTCAGAAAGGATTTGTGGTTTTGAGCTGCAGTCCTGCCTGTCAGCTGCCTATCAATACAGTGTGCTGTAACACTGCCTTCTGCCATGTCAGCAAGTAAAAAAAAGATCGAAAGAACTGTCAGCAAAGGAGTAATTACGCTACTCACCACCAGTTCATCAGAATTTAATCTTTGAGCAGCTAAGGATGCCAGACAAATTAGTCCATCACATAATACTGTCCCACTTGAATTCATAAAGTGTATGGGAGAACGGGAACAACCCTGCTTTTTCTAGTCTATGACTTTAAAACCCTCATGACTGCAATACTGTAGATATGACTCTTCTGCATAGCAAACTGGTTACTCATGGCTACAGTTGTAGATACTACTCTTCTGCCTAGCAAATGCATTTTAGACAAGCACTAAACCTAAGAGGTTTGGCACTAACCAAAAGATTAGTGAAATACTGATCATCAGTAACAACCCTCATTCTTCATGATGGAATATTATCATGATTCCAATATAATAAAGAAGAGCTGTGTATGTGCTGATTTCTGTTTTAGCAGATCAATATTACAAAGTGAGTATACTTAGCCAAGATGAACTCTAAATATAGACTGAGAGGGGCAGTCTGTTTCACAGCTATCTTTATGGGTACTGCAGGACTTGACAGGCTCCTATGGGACTAAAAGTAGAGAGAGGAACTGCAGAACAAGTTTTCTTCATGTGATTTTCACTGGCTGATTTCTTCCATACTGGCACATTACTTGAATGTAATTATGTTGTAAGTTATGTTTCATTCTCATATTTTTTAACCTTTTATATTTTATTTACTTTTTTTTTTTTTCCTGTGAAGAATTCTCAATGTGTTCTCATTCTAAGGTTTTTTTTTTCCACAATGACTTAGGATGAAATTTAAAAGTTGCATTGGGGAAAAAAGTCTTTAGGTAAGGTTAAAGTTCAAGATAAACTGAATCCAAAGGTCCCAATGTTTATATTGCTTTGTTGGGAAAATAATCAATACTTTTGTCCAGTGACACATGTTTGTATCCTTTCTCCTTTGGCATGTCAATAGAATCAAACAAATGTAATATAAACTATTTTGAATTAATAATGGTAATCTTCACTGTGTTTACATGTGCAAATAAATAATAAGTGCAGAAACATAGAATTCATAATACTAATGAATCAAAGGTATACACACATTTATTGCAGCTCAAGTAGTTAAGAAGAGTGTTCCCTGAAGCTGCAGGGAGGTGTTAATCAAAACAGAGAAACAACTGCTCTTCTGAATCTAAAAATAACCAACAGCCTTTGTGCATGAAGCGGTTACTTTTGGCATGCAGTTCAAACACAGGGCTCCACAGTGACTGTGTTGCCTGAGGATGTGCATGTGGGGAGACAGCAGAGCAGAGCCAGCTCTGGTGGGACGTGGCTCACAGACTGGGCTGCCTAGTGCCATGTCCTGCTCTAAGGGAAGGACCGTGGGCACAACCATCTGTCCTGAAGTTCCTGTTGCACACCTAAAAATCACAGACTAGGTAAGGTTAACCCCTGTCATGCCAGCTTTTCTACATTTTCTTTGTACTTTGAAGCAATGCTTCTGAACAGAGAAAAAAGTAAGTTGTAATCTTTTCTTATGGGCTGTTAAAAAGAAATACTAAAGTATCCATATAGTCTTGCCAGTCTCTACTAGCAGGAGAACAAGCCTTGTTGTCAGGATTGCTTTCAGTGCTTAGTCTTCAGACTTACTGAGGTTGATTGAATGTCTGCTTTGCAGTGTGCTCAGATCTGGGGGAAATATAGTGATCTTCTGCATTTGGTTTGATGAGGGAAGGAGTGAGGATTTTCTGCAAACGGTTCAAATTTTAGGTTTTTAATTTTAGTGTTTTATTAGGAATCTGGTCACACTGTGTTCTGTATTCCTTGGAGAGGAAGAAAAGGCTCAGAAGCATGTCATGTCAAGAGGACAGTTAACCCATCTAGGATTCAAAAATCACCCTTAGGTGCTTAACACGTCATCAAGGGAGGTTTGCATCCCACAAAGTGCTGATTTATGTTGGCAGATAAAATTGAACTTGGGGGCTTTATAAAATACTAAATGGGTAAGATGCATTGTACTCCAAATTTAAACTAATGTGTCAGGGCTCCCTGCTTACATTCACTAGCAATAAAAGCACATTTAGGCTGTGATTCTAAGGTGAGAAAGGAATATCTTAGAATAAAAGGGATATTACCTAGAGGAATATTTTTTTCTTCAATAATTACAAGGGGAGTTTTCAGTGACAATTGTAGACAAACATGCCTACTTAGAGTGTCTAAATCTTCTTATGGCTAGAAGTGTAATTTGTTTCTAGAAGATAATTTTGCAATCAGAGCAGTGTAAAGAAAAGCAAAAGACAGGGAACAATGTGCAATACATAGAAGCTGCCTCCCTAGATACTGCTTATTTTCTATATATAATCTTGTTTCAAAACTGTATTTATGTTAAGAATCATTCACTGAGTTCATGCACCCAGACTCTGCAGAGAAACTTTTTACTAATTAAACTTAATCTAGTGCCTTTTTTAAAGCAATGGGTACTAGTCTGAAGAAAAAGCTTTTAAAATTTGTGAAAAGTGTGACCACATTTTTCACAAATAATAGCTTCACAGTGATATTCTAAGGTGTATAAACAGACACATACTCTTGTTGCTTATCTCCTACATTCATACCTGCTTTCCCTGGTTTATCTTCCAATTACTTGATGCTGAAAGAAGAGAACCTGAGTGACATCCTTTCTGGAAGTGTTAGTGAAGGTTTGGTTTTCACTGTGGTCAGGATCTCACAACACGTCTTGCCAAGTATTCATCAAATCAAAGGATAATATACTAAATATGTACCATTCAAGTCAATGCTGGAGCCAGTCAAATTGACTCTTTCTTTCCCCATACACACACGTATGTGCACAAACACAATGTAAAAATGAAATGTTTTAATCATTGAAGATTTCCAAGAATGAACAAGTGCTATGCCTTCAAGTAAGTGTGCTGGTCCAAATCTCTGTATTTTAAGGACCGTTTGGGCTGCTCAGTATTTCCTTAGAACAGGATACCTACTGTTACAAGTTATTTCCCACAGCTGTGTGTTAATTTACCTTTTAAATTATTGTTTCTTTTAGAGACAATGGAGAGACCTTCCTTGGAATTTAACCTGCCTGATACTCATGAAGAAGGAAAACTTTATGTAGTTGATTCCCTAAACAACCTAAACAAACTAAATGTTTGCCCAGCTGAATCCCAACTTTCACTAGGTATGTATGATAAGTGATCTGTGGATTTCTAAATATACAATCCATATTGTGTGCCACTGCTGTCAACAGCCTAATAGGCCAACAGGTATGCCAAGCTGTACTGAAAAATATAAGAAAAAAATTGAAAATGGCATGATTTAGGCAGATCAGATAATGATTTAGCTGTCCCTGCTGAGTGTTTCTGCTTTAGGTTCTTGAAAATCCTTGCATTTAGTTAGGGATTTACTTTGAAACCTGGACTTATCTTCCATTTCAGTTGGGATTTATGAGGTGATTTCTTGCAGGATAATGTCTCTAGTAATGCCCAATATACACCAACTAAACAAATAGCATCATAGCTCTTCCCAAGCACTAAAATTCATATGTGGCAATAGAGGCACCTGAGAATTTCTGTTCATTCCTTTAAGACACGTCTCCTAAGAATTCAAACCAGTTACCTGAAGTATCCTGTGAAACCTTTAAGCATTTTATTTTCTGGACATTCTTTACTCACAGTTTCAGTTATGGCTCCCACATTTTTACTGGTTTGGTAAGGCTTTTGCCTTTGATTTCTCACAGCAACAAGAATATTTTCACCCAGTGATAGCTACAATTTGAGTTCTTTGTGACCTGAAAATATCTTAAAACCTGTACCTCTTTAGCAGCATTCCACACAACAATATTGGAGTCTGCTTTTATTTCCTTTATTGTAATGGCAAATTTGAGTGAAGAAATGTATAGATCAACAACTATGTTGAAATGTGGCCATAATTTAATCATGCTTTAATTATGGGTCTTAAATGTTTTCTCATTACTTCTGTTTCCAAGTCCCCTAATTTTCCTAATCCAACTAACTAGAGTGGTGCTGGTTTCTGCATTTAATGTAAATATTTTAGACATAAAGTACTAATTCCTCATATACAATTATCTTGATATTGTCACTTCTACACATAGAAAATAAGACAATGGCATAAATCAATTTTAATTTTAAGAAACTCCTTTCAGTGTGACTGTTTTGCTTTCTTTTGCAATTTTATTGGACAGTATTATTTACTTTTCAGGTAAATATACAAGATTCTGTGGAAACGTGATTCTCTGGAATAATCACATACATGCCCCTCCCTACATTTCAGCAGTAAAAAATGGTAGCTTAATAAGTATTTTGTTCATAAATTTGTAAAATCCTTTTGTTCCTTCTAGGATTATTCTTTCAATGTAGCTTTTAAGCTTGGAGAGTCTGTAGATATCTCATCCTGTCAGCTAACTTAGCAGAAGAAAATGCTGGTTCTCTAGCCAGAAAATCAGAGTCATGTCAAAAGCTGTTTAAAATGCATATGCTGTTTGGTTCCTTCAGTAGGAGCCATGCAGTAATTTCACATTTTAGATGATGAAATGTTCCCACTGCTTGCAGTTTGACAAGAATATGTGCTCACCAATTCCTCACAGCACTGCAGCCTGGCATGTTCAGCCTGATGAAATAGTAAAAAGCATTCATTAGGCAGAGTGAGCTCAGACCACTTTTGAGAACACTATTGATAATTTAGGATGCTTGGCAGGCAGCAGAAGCAGGCCCTGCCTATCCTTATTATTCTGATTAGAAAGCAATATTGGTGCAGACATTTATTATATGGTGAATTTGTTATGAATGCTAAGGGAATAAGAATAGAGCCTCAAAGGAGAAATATGAAACTATTTCAGCTTACTCATGGACAAGAATGTGTTAAACACAAAATAAATAAAAACAGAGATATTCCCAGAGATCTACCAGCTGAGTAATTGCTCAACCCTAGGTAAGGTTATTATTAAATTCTGTGATGGCATATGCAGCCATTCCTCAGCTTTATCACTAGAGGCTCAGTTGCAAAGACCTCAGAGATTTCCACCAGCTAAAACAAGAACATGACCTAGAAATACATTTTTCACAGATGCACACATTGCTCTCCCTTTCAGAATGGCAAGAGAGCAATTACAGAAGGATAAATTACAGTAATTTGCATGTAATTTTAGTATGCATGAGACTGACACCAAAGTGAAATTACATTAGCTTTCTCCTCCCTCCAAAATAGAAAACAAACCCAAATCTTTGTAAGTTACTACAGTAGCATACAAACTTAAGATTAAACAAATCTGACCCAAGTGTAAATTTTTTACATTCGCATGAATTTCCTCATGGTATTCACTTGACGTTATTTTTGGGGCTTGCTGCCACCTCACAGTGATTGCAACTGTTTCTATGAGAGAAACTGCTGAATTTCCCTATATATGCAACACATTCTTTAAAAAGCAGTGAACTGGCTTGCTGAGCTGATTCAAGGTCAGCATTTCAAGTGCTTTTCCTTTTCCCCCTCATTCCTCATGTGCGTAAAGGGCAACACCTGTATTCTCTGTGAGAGAGTCTGTTTCATTCGTGACAATTGGCAGGATAGGTGCCTCTATTTTTACTGGAATGAAACTAACAAATCCTAAAGATGAAGAAGAATATTGAAAACATTTGTTTTAAGATAAAACAGTCAAGATCTAAATTCATTCTATCCAATATTAGGAGCTTAACTGAGGTGTTTACTTTGGGAGATTAATCATCCCAGTGATACTTCTCATTAAACAGAAAAATAAACATATCTAGAGGATGAATATGTATGATGAACCGGTACCTTGGTTTTCAATATGAATTTTGCTTTCTTCACTTTTGAAAAGGTTAAATGTAATCAATCCCTTACCAATCTGCCTGATGAAAACTTCATTGCAAGCTTTGTACATGTAAAACAATTGTAAAATTCTGAACCATAAAACAGGTCAGCTTCCACAAAACACTGTATTTCAACACAGAAATGTTTTTGTTGAGCATGTTCTAACAGGTATAACAGATGTATAATTTTTTATATTTTCAAATTGCAAATTCAAATTGAGTTCATAAAGTTGATTTCTTTCCCTTTCATGAAATAGCACAGGAAATAAAATCTGTTGGCCAAATACACGATGTAGTCTCATAATTTCATTATACCAGAAGCATTTTGTCATGCTTATCCTAACCAGCTTTAAAAAACTGCATCACCAAATGATTTATCATCTCTTAACAGATGAGGAAGAGAACACTGGTGGTACTGGAGAAAGTATGGCAGGGAGCAATGCAAGAAACCAGTTTTTGTTCTTCATCACCTTTATTCTTACTTTGACCATCAGTTTGGCGCTTGTTTCATTTGTAATATTCTTAATATGTAAGTAAGCCAAAGAGCAGTTCTTAAAAATGTAGGGCCAATTGGAAAAAGAACTTTGCTGTAATGTGTCATGCTACCTTGTAACATGCTACTCCTGTATTTGCATGGTCAAAGGCTTCGGCTGGCTCTGGGCAGTGGGTCGTGGTCCTGGGGGCAGAAGCACAGGCAAACAACACTCTCACAGGGCTAAAAGGCACAATATTATTCTTAGTGCTAAGGATTTGTGGGCTTCAACACCCGTGAAGAATTTCTCTCAGCAGCATTATACTGTGTTGCTAAAAATGCTGACTAGAAATTAAATTAAAATCTAAAGGTAATTGTATGGCAGTGAGATACTTTGGCAATGTGCCTTCCATTCCTTTCCAGATAAAACTCAGCATTGGTGTCATTCCACTGAAATCAGAGTTCCATCCAGGCTAACACTTAAATCAGGCTACCTGAAGGAAGACCTGACCCTTTGTCATCAAAATACTGACTGGAAATTGATTTAGAACTAAGAAAGTCTTAAGCATAAGAAAAAGAATTAGACATTCATCAGGATTTGCATGTAGCATTGAATCTACAAACACAATTACTGTTCAGTCTTTAGGACTGATCAGGCAGGCTTAGCTGAAGACATGGCTGGTTAATGGAAACCTTGTTATCTTGGGGTTTTTTGAGCTAATGATATTGAATAGAATCTGAGGTGCATTATTTCAATTTACAAGACTATTTTGGAAGAATGGAAACCCATAATATCCTGCAGTAGGGAATTTGCTGAAATATAGTGAAAATTCTGATTTTTCTTTTGAGCCAGAAAATCCTAGCCCTTCACTATATATTCTTACAGGCCTTCAAAGAAATATCAGACAAGTAAAGAACATAAAGTATGTTTTAAGTAACATGATTGTAAAAGCCTAAGTGAAATACCTCATACTTGAATTTCAGATTTATTTAACATGGAGCTGATAAAAGTAGAGCCTTGGTATAGAAAAATTAGTATTGGGTTGCTCTAGTGGAAAAATTATAAACTAAAGTGAAAAAAATTCTTACAAGAATTAAAGCAGTTTGCTTGGGCTCAGGTTACTGGAGGCCTGGGTTTTTGAAACTGATTTCCAGTGGTGTTTCAGCTTATGTTACAATGTTTTATTAGATACATATAGATATAGTGTGTTCTGTCATCTGAGGTGTTTGCAAAACACATGCATAGATTAATTTAGCATTGCTACTGTTGAGCTTCAAAACCCATGGGTAATTTTTTTAACTTCAGAAGGCCAAAATAAAAATAGCTGCAAAAGTGCATATTGGTGTGCTAGAGGAGGCAAAAATGTCAGTATTTCACAAGAATTTTTCTTTTCTTTAAAATAAAATATATGCACATGCCACAAATTGGATCTTGAAGCTCCTAAATAAGACATTTCCTTGTTGACACTAATGGTTATGCTCCTGAAAACTGCAAAAATTATCTAAGCCATATATGATTTTATTACTCTGCACTAAATTAAAAAAAAAAGAAAAAAAGAATCAAGCAAAAAAAGAATGTAGTGGGCAGGTAAACCCACCAGATGTATAACTTCTTATTATTAGGTTCTGCAGTTGTTTTCCTGTTTAATATTTTTAGTCATCATTATTCCTCACAGGAATACAAGTGAGGGTAATGATGCTCTTGACTTACATGTTACCAATTTAATGTGATACATTCTCCTTTTCAAGTTCAAACTAGAAATGAGTTGGACCAAATATCAAGCAGACTACTATCTGAAAAGAAGAATATAGAAGAGCTGAAGAAACTTCACAATATTATATTAAAGCATCTGAATCAATCTGGAATTAAGGAATAGCCTTCTGATCTTCATGATTACCTCTTTACTCATACTGAGCTCAAAGTCCTCGGAGAATAAATCTTCTTTGGAAAGAAATTCAGCATATTCACAACTCAGACATGCTCACATATGGCACACAGGTTGCTGAAACATGGTTGCTGAAACATTGCTGGAAGAGCCAGCTGAATGAAAAATATTAGCAATTAGTATTTTACCCTGTTTTATGTGGACATAGATTTGTAATACTAAACCCACAGGATTCACAATAAACAATGGATTGTCAGTTTGGGGCAAAACTTCCAGATTCCCTGTGCATTGAATCATAGGGGAAAGGGCCTAGTTTTATTTTAAATGTAAGTGAATGATCACAGAAAATCACGAGTTCTCTTCACATGATTCCAGCATGACCTTGTTCACTTAATCATTCTTCTGTTACCTTTGTACAAGCTTTCTGTTTGTTTCTATTACTATTTGTATTTAAGGATAACTTCAGATTTCATAACTTATAAATAAATCAATTTCTGCTCTAGAGTTTTGTGGTTTTCCCTTCTGTGCATCTAAATATACTGTTATGATACTCTTTTTGAGAAAAAAAACCACCCAGACTTGAATAACAACAAACCCTTTCATAAGATGCCATAATCAGTCCACATTTGTATTGACAGAGTGAGTATCCTATTGCCTTACACTGAAAATGTGTTTAGAGGACTCAGTCTGGTAATGTCACAGCATCACAGCCACTCTATCTCATAACAATGCCAAAACACTGTACTCACAATTTGCAGGTGCAGCCCAAGTGTTTTTATCAAGTGATATGGGGAAAATACTACAAGTTCTTGTACTCCTCCCTGTAGCTTCTGCTGGTCACTGTCAGAGAAGGGCCAGATGAAATGTGGTTGGAACCTTCATGGCTTTAATGTTGTGCAGTATCTCAGAGGCTAAAAAGAGCTTAAAGTTCTCATTCTCATCCAATTCTTTCTTATTTCTTTTGGACAGTTTTATAAAAAAGTCACGAAAGTCAACAGCTAGCATTGCAGTCTTCAGAGTTCCTGACAGTCCTTTCTGTGATGACTACTTCATTGTCTGCAACAAAGGGAAGAACTAAGTCCAGGAGGATTTATTGGTATCATTCTACTTGGATTTGCCCACCAATTCTATTCCTGCTATTATGGGTGCTTTCCTTTGCACTTAGGTTTTACATCACCTTTCTATTTCCTGATTTTTATTTTCCTGATGTATCAAGTTATGTCAAGTTATTCACATGAAAATGGTGAGGATTGGTTTCAAGAGTTTATTACTCCTGCTGTTACTTCCCAGCTGCAATTTTAGTTATCTTCTCTGGACATCACAAGTAGTTTTTACAAAGGTGACTCTGATACAACTATCAGAGAATGAAAAATTAAGTGTAAGGAAAGGAATGCTGAAAGTGTAACCCAAACATCTTTCTGTAAATGCTGTTAAATTATAAAAGGCATCTAAAGACTAAAGTTGTGACACTTGCAGTGTTGTTTCTCTGTTCTTCTCTGAGCTGTCACCTGATTTTTAGTGGCAGTATTAATTTCTCATTTCTCCCACTCCCATTGTAGCTACTGTAACTGCTCTCAAGCTCTGCCTTGCATTGACACACATCCATACTTGTGAGCCAGGGAGAAACACTAGTATTTGGCACTCAGTGTATCTCAAATGTGGATTTGTCACATCCCTCATTGCAACAGCAGTTTTCAGAGCAGTGGTCCGCTAAAACTGATACCAAGAGCCAATAGACTTTTGTTTTTTTTCTGGCAGGAAACTGTAAAAAAAAAAAAAATGTGCTAGAGCAACAGCCTCCAAAGGTTAGATTAGAATGTTGTTTCATTCCATGGTTTCATCCTGCAAGATGTGAATGACCTGAACTGCCCCAGTCTTATGACTAGCTGAGTCATAATAATGTACAGGCGTGCTCAGGATCATACAGGACTAAGGCTTCAAATGATCCTTTTAATATTTGATTGCTTCCTCACTTGCAGTGACCAGCAATTAAGATGAGTGACTGATGAGGTGCAAAGGTCAAATGCTGATCCTGCTAGTGCTGCTAAAGCACACCTAATGTTGGGAGATACTTGCAGACACAGAGGGTGTGGGGCAGCAGTGATTAAGGCTGCCTCTGGCTTCTCAGCTCAAGTTAACAATAGCTAATATGCATTTACTGTCAGAACTGCTTCTGTATAACGTCAGAACAAGGGCTGAGAGCAGAGTACCACAGTCCCTCTATCAACACTTTCTGGAGGACCCCCTACAATGTTCTTTAGGGGAACTTTTCTGTCTAATCTACTGACAGTTGAGTAGTCCCAAGAAAGCCAATACTTGACTCAAAACCTCCTATAAACCTGACTCTGAAATGAATTTCAGCTCAGTTCATAGGCCCATAATCCTTATCTCAAATAAACAGCTAAGTAAACTCCAAGCTCCAGCTGCATGTGATGTGACCTCTGTGCTGTATATGGATGTTTCAATGTGTCCTGCAGATGTGGGTAAGATCTGTTCCTGTATAGCTGCATATCTCAAGGGCCTTTGCAATGTCTGGTGTTACAACCAGAGGAAGATGGTCTGACAGCTTCATCTTACAGTAGTCACGCTGTTCTTGGTAGTACTGCTGTTCTTGGTAGTACTGCTTCTTCCCTTTTTCTCTTATTTGCAGGCTGTAGAGGTACATACCCAAAGTAATTAATTCACCTTTCAGTAATTCCACTGTGAAAAGAGTGCACAGGGGGTTCAGATAGATTTCACAACCCTCACCTGCTGCAAGTACTATCATTGCTGAAACAACAACATGTTTCAGGACATTTTCTGCTTAATAAACCAGGACAATGCTAAAAAAATGCTGGTAAGCAAAGAAGAAAAAAATGGAATATTTAACCAATAGTATACCTCCACCTCCCATCAAAGGCATCATCATGCCAATCCCTGACGGGTTGGCTGAATCTTTAGGTTGTTAGGTAATATCAGTAGAAAAAATACTTTCTTTCCTCGGTTAGCTTGCTGATGATTCACTCCTTTTTTCCAGATATCCACATCAGCCCTTGTTCTTGTTAGCCTCAAACCATCAGACAGTATCTGAGTAGAGAATAGTATCTGACACTATCTGTGGGGAGAATATGCATTACTAAATAGTAGAGGGTCAGCTGGGGCAAGCATTTGCTTGCCTTGCTTGGGGTCATGCTAACTTGAGAACATCAGCTTGTACTTGGCCTTGTGCTGCTCCAGAATGAAACAGCTCAAGCTCAATATCTGCAGACAGCATGTGAGAACTGAGGGTAAAACATCATTTACAGACATCTGTCCATGTCAAGAGTTACATAAATCTGAACTGTGGGCACCTTCAACTGAAAATAAGGCACAGATAATAAGAGGGATTCCGAGAGACAATCAAATCCATCCCTCTGTCTGACAGCAGCATTCAATTTACTCCAACAATTCCTAACAGAAGCTTGCCTATTCACATTGTAAAATATTCAAATAATGGACTGTCCACGGGCCTCCCCTTCTAATGTTCAACTAAAAGAATATGGTTAAATCAATTTTTCCTGAAGTCTAATTAAAATTTTCCCTGCTGAAATTTAAGCCCATTATCAACTTACCAATTCCTTGTGAACATGAAAAATTGTTTGTACCTTCATTGTTTCATTTCTTTTATATTATACTAGCTGCAAATCAATGGTTAAAACTTTAAGAAAGCTTTTTTGCCCTCTGAGATACCTGGAATTTTAATCTAGCATTTATTCTTAAAGTACAGTATGAGTTTGGTTCATGTGCTTTGTTCACTGGTAACAATACAAAGTGGAACACAAGTTATAAAAAACAATAACAATGATGTGCAAACTCTGAATGTGGAAAAAGAGAAAATACCAGAAGTGGCAAAAGGATTGTCACAAGTTTGTTAGACCACACGCTCTCAAAGGTGATGTTTTGTGTGGCACACAATACAAACTGTTCAGGAATCCTAAATGTGGTCAAGGTATTTGAAAAATGAGCAGAGTGGAATAGTGTTGAACAAAGACAAGAACTATTGTCAGAACACAAAGTGTATGAAGAACAAAATCCCACTTCATCTGGTTTTGAAGTCTTTGAAGATCAAATATTTACTTTTGTTTTATCAAAGCATAGTCTTGTAAAGTTACACAATACTGCCTGCAAATATGAATATTCAGGTCCAAAATTCCAAGTTTTCTTATTAATTTCACCCTGTCTGACTGGGGTTTTTGTTCTTGAGATACAAAACCTACCCCATTAGAAATGGTAGCAAAGCAATATGCTCCATGAAAACTTTACTGTTTTAAAAAGATCTATTTTGACAGGCAAAATTGCAACTAGTTCTAATTAGAACTCAGATTATTAAAAAATTTGATAAAACAAATGCCAAGTAGTAACTAAAAATAGACTTATGCTTTGACTAGTAACTGAAAATCATTTGTCTGAGAAGATGCTTATCTTGGTCTTATAGGCTGCTAGTATAATTATCTTGGAGATGTTGGTGAATAATGAAAGCTGGATCAAAACCTTAGATCTCAGCCCTATGCTACTGGGATTAAGGGGATTGTTCTCTTCAATTAAGAAAAAAAAAGGACATTCAGTCCATTACATGTTACAGTTCTTATTTTCCTGACAGATTAACAAGAATAATAAGATTTAAAGAGAGGGATGGAGGGGGTGAGTGTACTGTCACTTCCTCTGGGGTACATAAGAAATAATAACACAAAAGCCAAAGAACTTAGTCCTATTCAAGAAACCAATGAATCTTAGAATTTAAGAAAAGGCTTTTATAGACTCTGTTTCCGATTCTTTCTCTGGTTTCTGGGCCACACTTCAGCAATTGAAATGCTGTCCACGATTCACGGATGAGCCAGCAAAACCCCTGAATGGTAGTGAGAACCTTCCAGTAGAAACAGTCACAGCACAGTGCTGCTGCTAATTTGTCACTGTGAGGCAAACCACATTACACACAAGGGTGAAAGGACAATTTAAAAATCGATTGCTTGCCAATTTAAATATATATTAATAATTATGGGTTTGCTTTTTAGTTCTGCACTGCTCATTTAATCTTAATATCTTCTTCAACACATAACTGACTTTGGAAAACAGTGTCTGTCTGCAAGGTGACACGAAATGCTGAAATTCCCAGACACCCTTTACTCCTCAGCAAAAGCTCATGGATAATTCATTAACTTCTCATTTTTAAGGTGGATTTTTAGGGGTTTTTGGTTTTTTTTTTTTTTTGTTGTTTGTTTGTTTTAGTGGCTTTTGTTGCTTATTTACTTATTTATTTATTTATTTTAAGCTTGAGCTGTTATTTTGGTCTGCAATAGTTTTTAGGTTGCACTTCTTGCATGGATGTGATGAATCAATGCTCCAGCTCCCTGAGGTCCTAGTGTTTAGGAGCCTGCTTGAGACTACATTCAGCTTAATGAAAAAATCTGCAGCAGGAGGATTCCCAGCTATGGGCACCGAATCATCTCGCTGAAGTGCATGGGGAGTGAATGAAATCCAGGGAAC